AGAAAATAAACATCAGCATCCAAAAATCTGGTTGGAACTCTACCAACAGTCTAGTTCTGCTACAATTTGCAATTGCCACGCTAATCAAACAAACGAACAAATCGATCAATTTGGCTGATTTGTTGCGGATCAAACCGATTCATAAGCCAGCCAAATCTGTTTACCAAACTCGTCCAGATCAAGTTCAAATAAATCACGAGGCGCGCAGTCAAAAAAAAATAACCAGGGCCCCCAATAAAAATCCTTTGAAAACAAAAAAGGCAAAAGATGAAAAAATCCAGAGATAAAATCGTGAAGGTATTCATACGGTCCTTCGAGGCGTATATATTGAAAAATCCGCTTCTCAATTTTGACAGATATGATTTAGAGCGTCGCACTTTATTTGAGTGCGTTTCCTTCCCTCGAAAATACCTTTCTGGCTGGAAATGAGACCGAGGACTTCCAGTGCCGGGGACGAAACAAACACAATCGATTCTTTTGTAAATTGACGCAAAATCTTGTTTCTTCATCAGCTTTTCCTCATCCTGCGGAAATCTAACCAACACAGAAATCTTGAGAAATTATTTCAGCTGCTTTGGACCCAGGGATTCCAATACGAAAAGGTCCTTTTCAGTATGTGCTGGTCCAGAAAGTTCCACTTTGCGCGCCACTGCAGGCTCTAAGAATTCCCCGATCTATATTTATTCCTCGGGAGTAAATCTTTTTGTGAAAGACGTGAAAAGGGACGCGTACTCTCTGCGGGGGTTAGAAAAAGATAGATGGGGCATTTCTCGCCACGGATATAATGCCATTCCACAAAAAAGGCCAATTTTTATCCGGGCCGGGAGAACGGAATTACTCGCAGATTGTTTGGCCGCTAAGTCAATTGATGTCAGAAATTACCACTTGTTGACTGCGTTTTTTCTTTGAGGATTTTCCGTAAATTATGCAGTTTAAAACCCGATGCCAGATGAAACGCCCCTGCACAAATCCATGTAGGTAAAAGAAGCCTTTTAACACTTCCAGCGGACATTCTACAAGAATCCATGTAGCTTTTTTACAACAGCTCGCCCATAACTTGCACTCGCAACCAGCAGAAGAGTGTGCAGCCTTTAACACAACGTACATAAACGGGAATTTATTCTATTTTACGACTGGGGGGAAAATAGTGCACGCGATGACAGACAAAGTAAATCTAATATTAAACCCACTCAATAAATTTGTGAAAATGCACCGGAATCTCACTAATAATACGCGATAAGAAGACAAAGCTTTTGAAGATAAACGCACCATACGTGGCAAGTGCCTGTATCATTTTTACGTCCGCTTTATTAGTGTACTAAAATTGTGTTTATATGTATTTTATAGTTTTTATTGCGTTTGTTTAAAATTCTATTACCAATCTGGTGTCAGCGTTCGAGTGGGCGCCAAAATATTTATTGGGTTGGCAGAGATGCCAGCCGATGCTACACGCAATTTAACGCCAACATTTAAATTCAACTTAATCCTAGAATGTTTGTTTGTCATTATTGCAATTCACATTCTTTTTTGGCCCCCAGACCAAAACTATTTAAACAACGCGGCATTGCTTTTGGTCCTTCGAGCCGGATGACAGGCATTAAGATCCCCAGAAATAAGTGCATGTGATCTATTGAATTTCTTATATCCAATTAGCTTCTCTACAGATAGACTTTTTTGCATTAAATCGAGTAAAATTTGAAGTTTTCAAGTGCAGGATCGAGTGGCAAGACATGTTTTGCTGAGTTCGTTCATTTCTAGTAATTTACTTCAATTTTTAACAAATCGGAAGAAGTTGCCACATAAAAATCAACTAGTTTGTGATGTTTGCCACCTGAGTAAAAGGAGGATTCAAAATAGATGATTTATATCAACCGCGCTCTCTGTGTAAAACATGTGGAACTTGAAGCCCAAAGGAAGTAGCGACTTGAAAATTTCACACTTTCTAAAATACACTTGACTCTAAACGTGATGCAATTTGCATAAAAGTCGACCGAAAGCCTGATTTTTACCAGACCAATAAATAGATGTTCTCGCCCAACTGCAGCCCCTGCTTGGAAAATTCGAAACTTCCCACCCAGGGCGAGTAGAAACTTGAAACTTTCTTAGTCTTTTGAGAATACGTGACTGCATAGGTATGTTGGCATGTTCACAAACATTGCAAAAAATTTAATTTTTCTAGGCTGAGTAAACGTGGGTCTCAAGGTGGATGTTTCATCCACACGTGCCCTCATTTGAAAAATCCTAACTTCTCAACCAGCGCACGTAGCAACGTGAAACTTTCCGAGTGCTTTGGAAGGACTTGAGCCTAAACATGCTGACATTTTCATAAAAATTGTCCAGAAATTCATATTTTTGCCAGCGGAGCAAACATTGATTTGAAAGTGAACACTTCGTCCAAGGGGCCCCGTCTTTTAAAAAATGCTAACTTCCAAACTAGAGACAGTGGCGACTTGAAACTCTCTCAGTCAGTTGAAAACTCTTAACTCTAAATACACTGATATTACGATTCCAATCTTCAGAAATTCTGATTTTTGGCTGCGGAGTAAACGTTGGTCTAAACGTGAAGGTTGCGTCCAATTGGGCAATCGCCTTTTAAAAATTCGTAACTTCCAACTATGCGTGAGAAGCAAATTAAAACTTACAGACTATTTAGACAACGCTTAGGCCTAAACGTGCTGACATTCCTATCGACAACGGAAAACGTTTCAAACTGAGAAAATTATGTTTGCAGCCGAGTAAACGTTGCTCGCGAAGTGGAAGTTTTACCCAACTGGGGCATCGCCTTTCAATTCAAACTGGAAACTTTAAGTCTTTAAACCACACTTGACTTTAAAAATGATCATATTTTGATAATAAACTCGAAAAAATCGTAATGTTTTCAAGCTGAAAAACACAAGCACAAATTATTAAAACATGAAGTTTTCTGAGAAAAAAAAGCGTAGAGTGGGGGTTTTATGAAAATTTTTGATAGGTACTTGAAACAAACTTATAGAGCTAAATGCCTAAATTATTCAAATAAACTCAGTGGAGAAAAAGCGTTGAAATATACCGGAAGATTACTAATTGAATGCCTCAAAATGTGTCTTTCGTGCTTAAGATAATGCTAGTTTTCGCCAAAATTTAGGTTAGTTGTTTTCGCAATTAGGTTGTTCGGTCTGCAGCTGGACCGGCCCTACGAATATCGATAAGATCATTTAAAATTTGGTCCTTCGAGCCGGATGACAATCACAAAATCTCCAGAAGCAAGTTAGTGTGTATATGGTGTATCTTATTTATTATTCAACATATCAAAATCCACAGAAGTGGCCTAAAACACCTCCAGTTAACTGCATTCAATGAGAGATCCAAAAAGTGAAATTACTAATAATTTCTTCGACATATTTATTAAAATCTCGTTGATAATTGAGGTGGCGTCGAATGTCGTTTGCTCGAAGAGAATTTTCTGTTGAATTGAACGATGAATTAACAAACAATGTGCAGTTATACTAAAAAAATCTTCAATGTTGAGAAAAGAAGCTAAAATTCTAATAGGAAGAGCAGGACGAAATGCAGTTTATTCATCTCGCACAATATTCGCAAATATAAACTAAAAAATCAAAATTTGCACCAAGGCTAAGGTCAAACCGTTGAGGAAAACATCGGGCGCTGAAGTACGGCTTCTTCGTACAGTTAAACATCAAAAAAGGTGTTTTTCTTTTTTTTTAGTTGGTTTTATGATTTGGAACCGAGCACAACTATCCTCACATAAAATAGAATACAACAACCCGAGGTTATTTGTCGATTGGAAAGATACTAGATATAATTTAGGAATGTCGTGTGTATTCACGGTGACAATGGCGAGCCGTATTATTGTTATTATTTTAACCGTGTTCTGCACGAGAATTTGTCATGCAAGTCGCTGTTGCACAACAAGAGAGATATCGGAACATGGTTTTCCGTGGTTTTCATGCCACGTCCCCCCATTATTATCCTTAATTATCCTTTAAAATACAATTATCGCATAAATCTGTCGTTGTTAAGGCGATTTTATTAAATTAATTATTTGTTCGCAAATAATATGTCAACGTTGTTCGGTGTCGCACTGTTTCCGTTTGGGCCCGACTGTTGGGACGCAGTCGCCTAATTTGTTGCCATTACGTATTTATACTGCGATTTAACAATTTTCGACGGGAAAACACATTTTAAATAATCGCAACAAGCTTTCACAATTATTAATTCAATCAATTCGTAATTGATATAGAAGCGGAATTATGTACAAATATCCCATAAGGATCGGCTCGACCATACATCCGAAATTTGTTTTCAACATCAAACACGGAATTTGAAGAATAAATCGATGATAATTCACCGGCTGGATTCCAAATTGCCTTCGGATTCAGTCACAAAGTGACAACAATAACACTATTCTATCTAATAGAGGATGATTATTGTCATAATGCAGTTTTTCCATTGGTAACCCAGATTAGACTCGCAACAATGCAGCTGTTTTACATACATTAAGCACACGTGGCAAATAAAGTAGATGGCTAATTAGATAGACAGATTCTGGACATTGGGCAACATTCTTAGTTTTGTCATCCTTCTTTTTCTGTACTTTTAGCCCATTTTCCCCTTTGAACTCACACGAATTTTCGTTCTAGTCCGAAAGAAAATTCAACCAAATTCACTATAGTGATCACAGGCCTCACACAAACTTATTGACAAATTGTGGGGAATTTTCAGCAGATTTTTGAGCAACCGGTAAACTTTAGGAGCGCCCTAGAATCACCATTATCTAATCAGCAAATTTCCAAATCCCGATAAGCCTAAGTAGAAAGTGTGATATTTACCCACATGAAAGAGGGTGTTAACTTCATGGGCCACACTAAGACGCAGTGTCAAAAGGATCTAAGTGCAAAGCAAACAGAAGTTATCCTTATTTCAACACGCTGGCGATCGAGCCTCGCCTGGTTATTTATTGACACTTCTGTCTAGATTTGATCAACAAAAAAATTACTTACCAAAGGTGAATAAAACGCCGAACTTTCCACGCCTATGCTCGGATAGGGGTTCTGATCGGTACTGGGATATGGAGTGCCGTACATGCCAACACTGCGAGGATACTGTAGGGCGAGTCGGGCCGAGTCGTACTGGCACGAGCACACGCTCTGGCCAGTTACCGGGTCGGTCATCAAGGGCCTGCCATTGTCGCAACATTGGGCAGGTCCAGTCGATGAGGTTCCACCAGGTGAAAGAGCCCCTGGTAGCCCAGCAGAACCGCCAGGGCTCAAAGAACCTCCGCCTGAAGCTGGCGATGAACCACTGTTGGTTGTTGGCTGGCCGGACACCAAAAGCTGCAACAGAGACGCAATTAAATGTAAAAGCTCAGTATTTTCTCCTTCATCTTGAATAAGTGAGTTTACAATTTCTTGTCCTTCTGGGGGAAGTTTTAACGACAAATTTTGACAAACGTTTCACCTGTTGGCGTTTCTTCCCTTGAAGAAGTTCTAACGTCCGAATCAGAGCAAGTAGCAACTTGAAATTTTCAGTCCTGCAAAAACGCCGCTTCTCTCGGAACATGCCGAATTTCCATAATAATCGAAAAACATAAGATTTTTCAAATTTTTAATCGGTGATCTAAAAGTGTATTTTTCACCAGTCTGCACCCTCTCCTTTAAAAATTCCTAACTTCCAAACTAGAGCAAGTAGCAACTTGAAACTTACACAGTGCTTTGAAAAAGCTTGACTTGAAAAAATAGTGATATTTTTATTCAAATTTCCGAAACTTTTGATTTTTTCCAGCTCAGCAAACTTTGGTCCAAACAGGGCCGTTTTAGCCAACTGGGCCTCTCCTTTAAAAATTCGCAACCTCCAAACTATAACAGGCTCGAACTTGAAACTTTCGCAGTACGTAGAACAAGGTTGACTCTAAACACGTGGACATTTTCATCAAAAACGCCCCAAAGTCTGATTTTTACCGGTTGAGTAAAGTTGCTCTCAAAGCGGATGCTTCACCTAACTGCAATCTTCCCTTGAAACTTTTCTAACTTTCGAATTAGAGCAAGTGGCAACTTGGAATTCTTTCAGTCCTGAAAAAACGCCTCTCGCAACATGCCGAATTTCCACAATAATCGTAAAAAATTCTGATTCTTCCAAATTTCTAATCGTTGATCTAAAAGTGCAATTTTCACCAGACTGCACCCTCTCCTTTAAAAATTCCTAACTTCCAAACTAGAGCAAGCATCAACTTGGAACTTACACAGCGCTTTGAACAAACTTGACTTGAAAAAATAGTGATATTTTTATTCAAATCTCGGAAACTTTTGATTTTTTTCAGCTCAGCAAATTTTGGTCTAAACGGGGCCGATTTAGCCAACTGGGCCTCTCCTTTAAAAATTCGCAACCTCCAAACTATGACAGGCTCGAACTTGAAACTTTCGCAGTACGTAGAACAAGGATGACTCTAAAGATGTGGACATTTTCATCAAAAACGTCCCAAAGTCTGATTTTTACCGGTTGAGTAAAGTTGCTCTCAAAGCGGATGCTTCACCTAACTGCAATCTTCCCTTGAAACTTTTCTAACTTTCGAATTAGAGCAAGTGGCAACTTCAAAGTTTTTCAGTCCTGAAAAAACGCCTCTCGCAACATGCCAAAATTCCACAATAATCGTAAAAAATTCTGATTTTTTGCAAATTTTTAATCGTTGATCTAAAAGTGTATTTTCCACCAGTCTGCACCCTCTTCTTTAAAAATTTCTAACTTCCAAACTAGAGCAAGTATCAACTTGAAACTTACACAGTGCTTTGAACAAACTTGACTTGAAAAATAGTGATATTTTTATTCAAATCTCCAAAACTTTTGATTTTTTCCAGCTCAGCAAACTTTGGTCTGAACGGGGCCGTTTCAGCCAACTGGGCCTCTCCTTTAAAAATTCGCAACCTCCAAACTATAACAGGCTCGAACTTGAAACTTTCGCAGCACGTAGAACAAGGTTGACTCTAAACATGTGGACATTTTCATCAAAAACGCCCCAAAGTCTGATTTTTCCTGGTCGAGTAAAGTTGCTCTCAGAGCGAATGCTTCACCTAACTGCAATCTTCCCTTGAAACTTTTCTAACTTTCGAATTAGAGCAAGTGGCAACTCGAAGTTTTTCAGTCCTGAAAAAACGCCTCTCGCAACATGCCAAATTTCCACAATAATCGTAAAAAATTCTGATTTTTCCAAATTTTTAATCGTTGATCTAAAAGTGATATTTTCACCAGTCTGCACCCTCTCCTTTAAAAATTCCTAACTTCCAAACTAGCGCAAGCGTCAACTTGAAACTTACACAGTGCTTTGAACAAACTTGACTTGAAAAAATAGTGATATTTTTATTCAAATCTCGGAAACTTTTGATTTTTTCCAGCTCAGCAAACTTTGGTCTAAACGGGGCCGTTTTAGCCAACTGGGCCTCTCCTTTAAAAATTCGCAACCTCCAAACTATAACAGGCTCGAACTTGAAACTTTTGCAGTACGTAGAACAAGGTTGACTCTAAAACGTGGACATTTTCATCAAAACGCCCCAAAGTCTGATTTTTACCGGTTGAGTAAAATTGCTCTCAAAGCGGATGCTTCACCTAACTGCAATCTTCCCTTGAAACTTTTCTAACTTTCGAATTAGAGCAAGTGGCAACTTCGAAGTTTTTCAGTCCTGAAAAAACGCCTCTCGCAACATGCCAAATTTCCACAATAATCGTCAAAAATTCAGATTTTTCCAAATTTTTAATCGTGGATCTAAAAGTGTATTTTTCACCAGACAGCACCCTCTCCTTTAAAAGTTCCTAACTTCCAGACTAGAGCAAGCGTCAACTTGAAACTTACACAGTGCTTTGAACAAACTTGACTTGAAAAATAGTGATATTTTTATTCAAATTTCCGAAACTTTTGATTTTTTCCAGCTCAGCAAACTTTGGTCTAAACGGGGCCGTTTAAGCCAACTGGGCGTCTCCTTTAAAAATTCGCAACCTTCAAACTATAACAGGCTCGAACTTGAAACTTTCGCGGTACGTAGAACAAGGTTGACTCTAAACACGTGGACATTTTCAT